AGCGTCTGGCACATGCGCAGAGTCGCCGCCGAGGTGGTCCTCGCCTGTGACAGGAGGTCTCCACTGAGCGCCTGGTCAGAAGAGAGCAACATATCCAGGGCCCCCGTGATGAATGCCATGTAGTTAGTCAATGCGAGGACCTGTGCTGCAATGGCATAACATCTATCCGGCATCGCCAAGACATCCTGTCTCGCTCGGAGGGAAGGAGAGGTCTGGTGCCGGGCCACACGGATGCGGAGGGCTGCAGGGCCATGCGGACTGAATCCTCGGTGTCCTGGCCACCATCCACGGCTAGCGTCTGGCACATGCGCAGGATCGCCGCCGAGGTGGTCCTCGCCTGTGACAGGAGGTCTCCACTGAGCGCCTGGCCAGAGGAGAGCGCCCTATCCAGGGCCCCCGTGATGAAAGTCATGTTGATAGCCAATGTGACGACCTGTGCCGCATTGGCATAGTATCTATCCAGCCTCGGCAAGACATCCTGTCCCGCTCGGAGAGAAGGAGAGGTCTGGTGCCGGGCCACACGGATGCGGAGGGCTGCAGGGCCATGCGGACTGAATCCTCGATCACCGGTCCAGGACCAGTCCTGCCCGCTGCAGTATATGTCGTACCCCAGTGCAGGCCTCTTGGCTGCTAGGGGCTTAGGCCACTCACGTGTCGCGTAATGGACGAACGGGTCCATCCGCGGGCACAACGTGGGTTTTATCCTCCTCCTCCCTCGAGTGGTGGCGCCCACAGAGGTGAAGTCCTCCACCGTCTGGATCCAGTGACGACGTCCGACGCCGGAGGGCGAAGGGAACTCGGACGAACAAGGAAGACATCTCAGAATGAAGTAAGTACTGTGGTAGATCTCGAACGGCGCCAGAGTGAAAGAGGGGGTGCGGCCTTGTGCAGGGGCATTTATAGAGGAAGGTGGCTGGTGATTGGAGCAAATTATTTTGATCTCTCTGGCGTGTGACCTGGGGGTCACGAGTGATATCCCACTAGCGAAGTCCTAAGGGACGTAGCACCATGACGTAGAACATGAGGACCACCCTCTCTCAGCCAATCAGCTCTCAGTGTGCAAAAGGAAACGTGATTTCTAATAAGATGAAGACGGCGTGTTGTGGTCTGATTAGTGCACAACATGTTACTTAAACAGTCAGGTACTCCAGCTTTAAAGGTTTAAAGTTTGCTCTAGAGCAGAGGGTTCGGGAGCCAAATATGGCTCTTTTGATGATTGTTTCTGGCTCTCAGACAAATCCCAGTTGTCATTAATAGTAAGAATGTTTTGTGTATTGGATTTATTGGAAGTATAAACATGTTCTTAAACTAAATAATACATTCTAAGACTAATGCTACTCTAATGCGTTGATCTTGTTTTAAAATTTCACACATATTCATTTTTTAAAAACTGTGTGGCCTCCACAGAAATACATTTCCATTTCCTCCTCCTCCTCCTCCTCCCATTGAAACCTGAAGGAACCTGAATAAACTTCCAGGAGCTCTGGTGCGCAATGATCCCGTCTCTGTGAGGTTAATTTTCCACAGTAACATCCCTTGGGTGACATGATTGTGATCACTTTTAAAGTGATAGTCTGTAACTCTAAATTAATTACAAATTTTAGGAAATGTGTTAAATTGACCTCCTGGCCTTAAATGTTTATAAAAAATAAGTCATTTTATTAATTCTAAAATTACGGGCAAGTGCCGTCGAGGTTAACCAATCGAGTCATGCCAAGGGTATGCCAAGGGTACTCGTAGCTGTGCGCATGCTCAGTTGTTTGTTTTCGCGGAGCCTCCGAATCAAGCTCTATTAGGCTCTGGAACTACATGAAAACTGAACAAAGAATTCTGAACATCTGCGCTGAGGTACTTATATATACTGAACCTATATTCATAATCAGATCCTCTGCAGATGTGTCCTATAATGTGCAATTAATGATAATAGCACTTCCTGGTTTGCCGTGATTGCTTTTTTTGTGCATAAAAACATTATTTTTTTCATTAAAACGTTCACAAATAATTTTGAAAACCTCCGTGTATTAATAATGTACATGTATAATGTGTTCTCTGATTAACATTTAAAAGTGTTACGGAAACGTAGGTGTAGACCAATCAGAAAGGAAGGGGGAGGGAGCTTGCGTCGTTTTTTTCAAATCAAGTACCTCTCTGTCTCTCTTTCTGACAAACTCCAGACAATCACTTTAATACTGGCCAAACTCAAACATCTGAAATACAAGTCAACGTATAAATACATGCATGTGTTTTGCTCATGTATAATATGAATAGTTTCTGCTAAATTACAATACACCTCAACTCAATCCCTTCTCTCCCTTGTACGTGCTCCTCTTTTTGGGAAACAATTGTTTGATCTGCAGTATGTTCCCACTGAGGCCAGGGCACAGTTCCACAGATTTTAACTTCATTTAGCGGTTGGAAAAATATAATTGAGTCTTTGATTGACTTATTTAGTTCATAATTTGTGAGCGACAGGTGAATTATCACGGATTACTGAGGCTCAGGTCGGAGCGGCTTTTATGGAGGGCTTCCAGCACAGATCCACTGTCAACCTTTGACGTTGCAATAATTCGACCCCTGCATATACTGTCAGAGTTCAAATCAAAGAAAAACTATAGGACTCTGAGGAGCACAGGGACTAGGGTTCTGCTGGTGCCCAGAGTCAGAACTAAACATGGGGAGGCAGTGTTTCAGATTTATGCAGCTATAATGTGGAACAGTTTTCCTGAAAATGTAAGACAGGCTTTGTATCTGAGGATGTTCAAATCCAGGCAAAAAATAAATGTAAAAAGTTCATTTTGTCTTCTTATGTTTAAGGCTCATGTGTCACCTCTGATGAAGGCGGAAGTGTACCGCCGAAACATGTCAGGTAATTGAGCATTTCTAGCTTTCTTTATTTTTCTTGTCTTATTAGAAGAAACTCTAAAGCCTTAGGCTAAAAAATATCCACCCATCCATCCATTTTCTTCCCCTTAATCCATTTCTGGGTCAGGGAGCTGTTTTTGTTGTATGTGAATTAACAGGAACACACAGTTAAATCCTGAAATCACAATTCCTTGATTTTTCTGTAATAGGTTTTTAAAATGCGTATTATTACTTTAGTTTCCCGCAGGTCTCAGTTCTGTTAAGTTATTTCATCTTTAATTTTTATCAGAATCAGAATCATTTTTATTGCCACGTGAGTAACAAAGTTATCACTTGGAAATTGTTTTGGCAGAGAGCGTAATATATATTTTTTCCATTCAATTCAGTTCATCTGTGTCTATCCCTCAATCACAACCAGAAAAAGTGAGAAAACTTGAGGAGGCCACTATTTAGAGAGGGATCTGCTCCCACGGATGGACAGGCTGCTGTAGATTCACGACTGAGGCTGTAGATCCAGGACTGAAGAGGTGTTTCAACGTGTCAATCCCTTTGATCTTGCACTAAATCACTTTCAGTTGTTGCATAAGTCGTTCTCAGCTCTGATGTTGAGTATTACGTACATTGTCCCACATCGTACACTGGAGCCGTTGGGACACGTTTCAGCCTGAGGACACATATTTCCGCATCACAGTCCTCCACGCCTCACATACGGAATCAAAAAGACTAATAAAGTATTACAACAGCAGATGCATTTGACAAATTCCGAAACTATGATTACTATTTTGAAGTCATGTGACCAACACCGCAATCTCACTACGTTCTTTCTACTGGACAAAATTATGCATGTTTTAAATATTGGCACCACGTCTAGACACATACGTAAGAAAATAATGAGACAATAATTGGTAGAGAGATTAGAGAGAGACCAGAGGGAGAGACGGGAATATAAAGAATCATTTGTAAAAGTAGAGAAGCTTTGTTACCAGTGTTGGCCGTCCTCTTAATCTTTCTTCCAAATTGGATTTTATTGCCAGCGATAAACAATGCCATAAGTGTGGTTATATATGTGTATCCAAGGCTTATGTACAGAACACCCACTAAATTCCTAAGTGAAGGAGTAAATCAAATCGCTTTGGAAAATAGGCTTCACGTGATAATTCATGTTGTTTTGTAAAAGGAGAAAAGGTCGCTTTGAAGGAGAAGTACAGTATAGAAACAGCACTATCCTCTCCTCTGTCCCGTGTTATCTATCATCATTGAGACTTCACCCGCTGTCCCAGTATCTGCTTCATTGCGTAATGATGGGACCCCTGAACCCGGCCACTTTTACTTGTACTGTGAACTGTTTGCACCCAACACGCCTGGGAGCCTCTGCAGTCCAAGTTCTACAGCCTCAGTCCTGGATCTGCAGCCTCAGTCCCGGATGTACAGCCTCAGTCCTGGATGTACAAGCCCCAGTTCTGGATCTACAGTCTCAGTCCTGGATCTACAGCCTCAGACCAGCCGGAGAGACCAGAGAGAGACCAGAGAGAGACCAGAGAGAGACCAGATTATTATTAGTAGTAGTTTTTGGTCTGAAAGTTTTGTGTAAAAAATAAGACGAAGGCTTTATGGCTTTATTTCTAATTACATTTCCAAAGGCAAAGCTACAAGACGTCTTTGAATGTGTCATAAAGCATGCTATTCTCAACACATCAGTGGAGTGGTAAGACCTGTTTGGGGATAAAGACTAATGGAGTCCGGTTTTGTAGCACAGTCTATCTTCTCTTTTTCTGTAAACGCAGCCGCTACTGTCCGATCTGCCTATCCCTGAAAACCCCCAGATTCCCCGGAGGGTGACATCACACCCTCCGGAACTCCTTATTAGAACGTGACTTTATTAAAGAGAGAGAGTGTACAGCTTGTGCAACTGTCTCTCTCTCGCTCTGTGTGCATGTGTCTCGCTGTGCATGTGTGTGTGAGGGGGACTTTTACCGCTCACCGTGCAGGGCCCCTTCAGAAGAGGAGGGAAGAAAAGCAAAATCCACGGCATCTCTGAGAGAAAACGCATAACTGAAGAAGCCCCAGACGTGATACAACCCATGAGGAGCCTTCAACATTTACACAGCTCATATATTGGTTTCCTGAATGATCCATCGATGGAGATTTACGGTTTTAGCAGAGAACAATCCACGTTTAAGCTCCAGGCTGAAGACACCAACTCTTCCTTGTTTCTTCCATGTAGATCTGACAATGTGGTGATGAGTGCGTGTGTTCTACAGGGTCTGTGGGACTTGGTCAGATTGGGACAAGAGCGGCTTCTCGTGTCCCCGTACCTGCCCGCCTGCTGGGCCTTTCTCACCCACTTGTCCCTTTGCGCGCCTTTCTTCCTCCTGGACCTGCTGTCTCTATCCAGCGCCCGAGTTCGCAGCTGGAGGCTCGGCGCACTCCCGGCCCCCGGCGTTCGTCACTGGCTAGAGTGTCTAATGCGGCTGACGCGCAGGTACATGGTGTGGGTGCTGCCAGTAACCGCGCTGCTGCAGTGGGCGCTCAGGGGCCCCGAGCTGCCCCACAAAGCCCCCTCCTGTGTCCGGCTGTGCGCGGAGGTTGGTGCGTGCTTCCTGCTCTTCGACGCGCTCTTCTTCGTCTGGCACTATTCCATGCACAGGTATGAGGGGTTTTTATACCAGAGTGATTGGGAAATGTATTTTTGGTCTCTGTGATAGCTAAGAAACTTAGCTATCAATATATATATACTGTATATATGTTGTATATTTTGTGAGCTCCCTGTGTGCTCTTACTACTGTCCTGTATGTGCGCTGCAACATCAAAGAACCGAGGTCAGACATTTGTTTATAATGCTTTATAAACAAATCCATCTGTCTTTCTCTTTTTAGAAAACTTTTTTTTGTAATAATGTATACAGATATGTGTGTATGTTTATGTGTAGGTGTTTATATGTATGTGCATATATAATATATCTCTATCTTAATTATAACAGAGAGTGTGCAAGAATTATTCAAACCAAATTAGGCATATGAATAAATGAAAAGTAGGCGCCCTTAGAAAATGTTGTATTTCAATACTTTTAGCACAATCATTGGAATTCGAAATTGGTTTGTAACCGCCAGTGACCCTTGCCCTCCATACACAGATGAATTAAGTTATATAAGGCCAATTAAATAAGTAATTCCCCTTATTGCATCATCTCTGAAGAGTGCAACATGGAGCCCCTAAATAACTCTCAAATGACCTGAAACAAAGATTGTTCAACATCATGGTTTAGAGGTAGAAACATAAATCTCTCACAGTCTTCCACTGAAGGAGCTCCTCAGCTCCTCTACAGTCCTGTGCAGTGGGTGGGAGGTGTTGTTCATGATGGAGGTGGCTTTGACTAGCTCCCCCTGTCCCTCACCTCCTCCACAGAGTCCAGGGGGCAGCCCAGAGTGGAGCTGGCCCTCCTGACCAGCTTGTTCAGTCTGCTGTCCCGCTCTGTGCTGCCCGGGGCTCAGCACACGGCAGCGTAGTAAATGGCTGAGGCTACCACAGAGTCATAAAAAGTCCTGAGCAGAGGCCTGCTCACTCCGAAGTGAGTCACCTTCTGAGTCACCTCCTCAGAAGGAAGAGGCGACTTTGGCCCTTCTTGTGCAGGGCGTTTGTATTATGGGACCAGTCCAGTTTATTGTTAATGTGAACACCCAGGTACTTGAAGCTGTCCACCAGCTCAATGTCCTCCCCCTGGATGTTCAGCAGCGTGTGGGAAAGTGGTTTCCTCCTGAAATTGATGACCATCTCCACACCAGTCGACAAAGTCTGTGATAACCGACCGTAATCCAGATCGTTCCCCTCAGACACACAGCCCACGATGGCGGAGTCGTTGGAGAACTTCTGCAGGTGACAGCTGTGTGTGTCATGTGTGAAGTCTGAGGTGTAGATGGTGAAGAGAAACGGTGAGAGGACAGTGCCCTGAGGGGCCCCAGTGCTGCAGACTACCACCTCAGACTCACAGCTGCGGTGGGTCTGAGAGGTAGTTGATGGTCCATGCAGTGAGGCTACTGTCCACTCCAGCGTCCTCCATCTTCCCCCGCAGCAGTGCCGGTCTGATGGTATTGAAAGCACTGGAGAAGTCAAAAAACATGACCCTCACAGCGCTCCCGGTGGGCTCCAGGTGGGAGAGTGTCCGCTGCAGGAAGTAGGCGAACTGCAGCGGGTCCAGGTTGGGGCTGACCACGGAGCGGAGATGGGTGAGGATGAGCCGCTCCATGGTCTTCATCAGGTGGGAGGTCAGTGCGACTGGTCTGTAGTGAGCCGGTTCCTTGGCGTGCGCTGTTTTAGGAACCGAGATCACACAGGAGGTCTTCCACAGGACAGGGACCTTCTCCAGGCTGAGGCTCAGGTTGTACATGAGCTGAGGACCCCAGAGAGCTGGTCTGCACAGGTCCTCAGCAGCCTGGGACTGATCCCGTCCGGTCCTGCGGATTTCCTCTGCTTCCGTCGCTGGAGCTGACTCCTCACCTGGTCCGGTGTAATGGAGGGGGGTGGGGAACCGAGGTGTACTGTCAGAGGTGGGGGCCGGGGATATGGGGGCAGGAGGGCCCAGGTCAGCCGAAGGCAGTGTCCACTGGGCGGTGTCCACTGGGCTGGGGACGTGTGAAGAGGTGGGGGCGGGAGGGGGGAGAATCAAACCGGTTGAAATATTGGTTAAATTCATCTGCCCGGTGCTGGTCTGAATCCGCTGTCCCTCTGGCACTCTGTCCAAAGCCGGAGATGTTCTTTAGGCCTCTCCACACGTCGCGGGCGTTTCCCTGTGCCAGCTTCTGCTCCAGCTTTTTCCTGTATTCCTTCTTGGCCCTTCTGATCCTCCACTGGAGCTCGTACTGGATCCTCTTCTGCTCCTCTTTGTCCCCTGAGATGAAAGCCCTTTTCTTGAGGTTCAGGAGGGCTTTAAGCTCAGGGGTCACCCATGGGTGGCTATTGGAGAAGCACCGTACCTTCCTAGTCGGTACAGTGTTATCCATGCAGAAGAGGATATAGTCTGAAGTGTGTCAGGCCTTCAATGTCATCGCCATGAGAGCTGCAGATATGTCCCGTCTGTGCTTTGGAAGCAATCTCTCAGCCTCTCTTCTACCTCATCAGTCCACACTGTGACAGACTTCTTCTGCGCTGGTTGTTGTCTCACCATGGGTGTGTATTCTGGAGACAGCCACACAAGAGAGTGGTCTGAACGCCCAAGCGGTGGGAGGGGGGAGGAGGCGTATGTGTCCCGGACATTTGCATACAGTGGGCCTCATGTATGAAACTTGCGTACGGCCAAATCAGGGTGTAAATAATGCGTACGCAAAAAATGTACACTTTTCCGCATTTATCAATCTGGACGTGAGCGTACGGTACGCACAGAATTTACACCAATTCAATAGGTGGTGTAAATGTGTACGCTCATTTCACCCTTCGTCACAACACGCCAAAACACGCATGAAATTCAAGATTTTGACAACAATAAACATATTCCCACTCTGGAAAAATTATAAGCTGTGTTTTCAGGAAGCATCATGTTTCTAAATTTGAATTTGCGCATCAGAAAAACTCTAATGGAAACACGCAAACTTTGAATAAATCACAGATCATGATGAGGAGCCTCTTTTTTCTATGATTTTAAATCTGACTTGTGTGTGTATTATTTTGATCTGTAGGTTTTTAAAATGTGAAGCGCTTTGTTATTCTGGACTGTTCAAGGCTCTATACAAATACACTTTACGCGACAGGGATGTGTGACCCATCTATTGCTTTGTAAATCTGTGGCAGGCTCTGCGTTGCGTAATTACGCACGGCTATGTTTTTCCTCATTCACATCTGGTAAAGCAATGTATTATTTCATTAGATTTGTGTAAGCCTGACACAGACACACACAAACGCACCGATGGATGGTATTGCTCATTCCAAATGTCTCACTGCCCTGTCCAGACTCACTGCGCAGCGGGTCCGTGAGAGGTCGCGCCGCAAAACTCCTGTCATTCAGAAGTTTTGGCTCCAGAGTTTCTTTGTAAAATCTGGATCGCAAAAGCTCTCTCAGTGTACAGTGCTTCAATGCGCACTTCTACCCCGAGCCAGGCTGCGTCCAAGACGCTGCAGACGCTTCATTGATGAGAGCCACCGCTGCAATATTGAGAGTGAGGAGTTGTCGTCATAGCACAGAGCCCCTCCCCGTCTCCGCCATGTTGGTAGGATCCCAGCGGCAAACACTTGTTGTTGTTAACTCGGTAGCAAAGGAGGTCGTCGCTATTTCTGTTTTACCATGCCTGGAGCTCATTGCTGTGTGAAAAACTGCCCCAGTACCTCACACTATAAGAAAGGAAAACGTAGGAACAACGGTTTACAATTGTTTAGGCTACCAAAATGAATACAACATCAGGGAGCGCAAGTGTCTGACCTGACGAAGAGACGCCGGATGGCTTGGTTGGCTGCAATAAGAAGAAAGGACCTTACTTTCGATCTCACCCCCAGTCGATGAGAGTGTGTTCTCTGCATTTTCACTCGGGTACGTCCTAAAATGTCTTTATGTTGTTTTTTTAAAGTTAAGAAGTGTAGGTTACCTAGCTGTTAATGTTGCAAACACTGAAGTGCATCTTAAGTTAGCTGCCTAGCTAACTATCTAACAAACTGTTGCCTCTATGAAAATGCTTAATGGCCAACCATTAATGCTAACAAAGAATATTTAAGTTTCTGCTCATTATCCTACCTTGTTGGTGGAATATGGGCACTCAAAGTGCGTTTGTCTCTGTCTCTTATGTTCTCTAAACCAGTGGTGCCCAAACTTTTTTTATGTCTTGTGTTGCCACTACCCCCTGAGCCCTTTTATGAAACCATGAATAGCGTTACCTTCTTGTTTAATATTTCTTTAGATTCCAGATTGTTTAATAATCTTATTAATCTGATGTAAGTAAACCATTATATGAGATTGCTAAAAATAGTTGAGATTCTGTTCATGACATTATGCTACCTTGTTGCCAGTTTAAAGCATTGACTACATAGATTATTCTGTTCTAGGTAAACCATCATATGAGATGTTGGAGAATCACCCTGACTGGACACCATCCTTGCGGTTAGGCCACAATAATGTTAAAGAAACAGATGGAGCGCGATATCAGCGGCAAGTAAAGCGCAGGACCCAGCATCTGGAGCAGTCATCACTCCCAGCCCAAGCCCAGCAGCCTCCATCACCAGCCCAAGCCCAGCAGCCTCCATCGCCAGCCCAAGCCCAGCAGCCTCCATCGCCAGCCCAAGCCCAGCAGCCTCCATCGCCGGCCCAAGCCCAGCAGCCTCCATCGCCAGCCCAAGCCCAGCAGCCCCCATCGCCGGCCCAGCAGCTGCCTCAAGGAAGGATGAGGAAGCTCTCACCCTTCCAGCTTGTCCTATTGACTGTAATGCGCCTCAGATTAGACCTTCCATCTCAGAATTCACGTTGAGAGGGTGATTGGTGTTGTGCGCAACAAATTCAAATTCTTACATTCAACTGTACCTGTGCATATGCTTCTCAAATGTGAGGGTGAAAACCTAATGCCTTTAGATAAGATTGTCACTGTTTGCTGTGCCTTAACGAACATGTGCAAAAGTGTTGTTTGAGTGCCTTGTTCATAACTTATGAACCAACCAGAACCCCTCATGTCATCTGGATCCGAGTCCAGAGTCAGAACCAGACACGGAGAAGCTGCATTCAGCTTCTATGCTCCACATGTCTGGAACAAACTCCCAGAAAGCCTCAGATCAGCTGAAACACTCAGTTTGTTTACATCCAGGTTAAAGACCCACCTGTTCTCAGCTGCTTTTGAATATGTTTTATTCTAATGTACAAATCTGCACGGCTTCTCTTAAGCTGGAATTACTTATCTGTTATCTTTTTCTTATGAATTTTTGTTTTTAATTTTAAATCATGCTTTTTATTCTGTTACTTTTTAATGCTTCTTCTGCACCCAGCTGTAATGCTTCTTAATTTTTTATTTAAAGTACTTTGAATTGTTTTGTAACATGAATTGTGCTGTACAAATAAACTTGCCTTGCCTTTTTAATTTCTTTGAAATAAATGTTTGAAACAACTTTATGTGGCAAAGCAATATTTATTGAGAAATTAACATTTTTTTGGAGGGGGGGTGTAATCTCTTGGAAAAGTTAACAGTGCAAAAGAACGTGTGCAATCAACGTATAAATATTTCAGCATGAAAAGACGGACAACATAATAATAAAATAGTAACACTGCTGTTAGTGCAAGTACAACAGTGTTTTCACCGCCTGGAGGCTTGTAGATGGCCAAGTCCTGCACTTCACGCCTTCACTCCTGATGAAGTGAAGGCCCTGCGGTAGCGCTCCTGAGGATGTCTCAGTCTTCCACTGAAGGAGCTCCTCTACAGTCCTGTGCAGTGGTTGGGAGGTGTTGTCCATGATGGAGGTGACTTTGACTAGCATATATGAAAATATACACATATATATTCTAAAGAAAACAACTGGATAATAGGAGAGTTTAGATATTATTAAGTTCTAGTCCTTTATATGTGTTTACTATTAAAATGGTTCATATCTGGATATACAGTGTGGTGAGTGTGACACAAACGGTTACTGAGCAAAGGGAGTTTACTTTTACTTGGACTCACTATGACAAATGTCCTGGTTTTGAGTTGTTTTGGTCTACTTTGGCAGTGATGGGAACAGGCAGAGGTCCCACCTGGTTCTGCTACCTTCTCACACTGTCCAGTCAGTACAACCTCGGCTGATCCTCAAAAAGAGGCTTTGGAATCTAAGGTCATCAATCACCCCACTTTCCCTTTTAGGAAACAGAGTCTCTCTCGGTTTTCTCTTTGGTCTTTCTCTGGTCTTTTATTCTTTGGTCTCTATGGGCTCCCTATCACTCTATGATCTCTCTCTGGTCTCTCTCAGGTCTTTGGTCTCTCTGGTGCATCTCTCTCTCTCTGGTCCCCCATTCATCTCTCTTTCTCTGGTCTATTTCTCTGAACTCCCCCTGGCCTCTCTCTCTGGTCTTTCTGTCTCTGAAATCCTCTCTCTCTGGAATATTTCTCTGGTCTCCGACTGGCCTCTCTGATTTCTCTGATACCTATTTGGTTTCCCTCGGGTCTTTCTTTGGTCTCTCTCTGGTCTCTCTTTGGTCTTTCTTTGGTCACCATGGTCTCAGGTCTCCCTGGTCTCTATCGCTATCTCTCTCTTTGGTTTCTCTTTTTATCTCTCTCTGGAATCATCTCATTCTGGTATCTCTCTCATCTTTACCTCTCTGGTATCTCTCTGAAAGCCTCTTCCTGGTGTCTCTTTCTGTCCTCTGTCTCTGGTCTTTCTCTCTATTCTCTCTATCATTCATAATATCTCAAATCTGGCCATATCAATGACATCTCTTGCTGGGTGTAAACTACAGTTGTCTGCACATCTGCTCCATAAAGGCCACAGCCACAGGTGTTTTCCATGGCCTCATCCATCACCAGTGCTCGTCTTTAGGGGGTCCATCATAGACTGTACACAGAAGTTTTGCTCCAACTCGCTCTAGCTGCCAGAAAAGACGTTTATTAGACAGTTCATACACAAGACGACCGAAAGTGCTTAACAAAATAAGAAAGAAACAATCACACAAGAGACAACTGGTTTTTTAACCTGGATTTGAACATTGGCAGAGACAAATATTGTCTCACATTTTCAGGAAATCTGTTCCACTTTTTAGCTGCATAAATCATGCCTCCGCATGGTTAGTTCTGACTCTGGGCACTAGCCGGAGGCCAGTCCCTGTGCTCCTCAGAGTCCGAGTTGGTGAGGCCATGGAGAGACTTGTACACAAGAGCTGCTTTAAAGTCTATTCTCTGAGCCACTGGAAGCCAGTGCAGAGACTTGAGACTCACCTAGTGATCATGCTTGCATCCACTACTCATGCTACAGCGTTTTGAATATAAACAGCTACAGAAAATTGACTTCCATATAAAAGTAAACTCATGTGGTTTAATGCTCTCTATGATCCTGGTGTTTATATTGTGTCATTATACGGCTCCTCACAGCAGCAGTAGAATGCTCCATTGATTTGAATGTAATTTCAAAACGTTCTACCGGTCATTATTTTCTATAACGGACCTCTCAAAACAATAATGACCGCTGCCCATAGCAACGCACTCTGTGCTTGTCTTTCAAATGCGTGGATAACTCCGCAAGTAGTTCCGGCCACTCCTGAGCTAGCCACGCTCAATCAACACACTTAAATGTTAATCGGAGAATACTTATACATATACATTCTTCACACACATGCACGGAAATTTTCAGAATTTTCTGGTCTTGTCTTCATGACAAAAATACTATTTCTCTGCGTCAAAAAGCGATCGTGAAAAACCCGGAAGTAGTTCTGGCCGCTCAATAAACGCAAATGCCAATCAATCAACGCAATGAAATGTTTATCGGAGAGTGAATTATACATATCCAGTCTTAATACAAGTGCACGGAAGTTTTCAGAATTTTCCGTTTACGTTTTCATGACAAAAACACTGATGTAATGCGAGAAAAGGCGATCCCGAAAAACCCGGAAGTAGATACCGGCACATTTTCGGACACATTTGCAGAGGATCGAATTATGGATTTAGGTTAGGTTTATGTATGGGTCACTCACCGCTGATGTTCAGAATTCTTTGTTCAGTTTTCATGCAGTTCCAGAGAGTTCTAGTTTGGAAGTTGCCAGCCTTCCAAACTGGCAACTTTTCCGCTGCGCGTCGGGGTCCGCTTCGCCCTGTCGGTACTTATTTTCCGATAATGACCTGTATGCTATACATTATCCCTTATTCGGCTCCTCACAGAAGAAGTAGAACACTCTATTGATTTTGACGTAATTTCAAAACGTTCTACAGGTTATTATGTCTTGTTATTATATGACTTGGACCGTACGCGCGCTCTGATTGGCTGATTACCGGTCTGATATTTTCCCATCTCAGACCGTTACCATGACAATTGGTCCGAACAGCGCGTATCACAATTGATATCTTTCCTGAGTTTCCTCGGTAAATAAAGGAAAAATGGGCGACAACTGGGAACATTCTCCCAGTGAATTCTATTATCCGGACAAGTTTGACAAGCCAGAGGAAGAAATTACAGAAAATAACGAAGAAAAAATAACTAACAGACAAGATGAGATTGACAACTTCGTTGCAGACCAGAACGCTAAAAACACGATTAGGAAAACCAAGTCGGAGATTGATATTTGCATAAATTAAAAATAGTCATATAATAAAACATTTATTAACCTCGTTTGCTCGGTTAATAAGCCGTTAATAACAGACTCATTACCAAAAATGGCCCATGGCAACACAATTTGTTCCTGTAATTCATGTGTGTCCGATCCCTCCCTGCAAGTTGTCCGGCTACTTCCACAACGAGCTTTCAACAATACCATGCAGTCAAAAAAACTTGCGAGAGAAGCTCAGGGAGTTGCTCCTGAGGTTAACAGGAGTCCGACTTTCAACTTACCCAGAGATACACCACCATTCCTCATCTCCAACTGCACCTTCAACAGGATCGTCTAGTTTGATATAAATAAGTAGCTAGTCTAGCTGTAACTCGCCTAGCCACGCTAGTGTGGCAATGTGTGGGCATTGGTAAAACCTCTGGAAACTATTTTATTTGCAGTCATTAAACAAATCTTTCGGCATTCATAAAAGTGGAAGATAGCCGTATAATAAACGGAATAGAGTAGAGTATAGGGTGTATAATGTATGCATTCTATACGTTATTCCTTACTTGTAAATCCAGATATGAGTCATATAATGATTGACCAATCAGAGGCCTTCATTAACGGCATTGGGCCTCTGCTGAGTCTTCATACAGGGTGGGAGCGGCACTCGTCAGCACTAACCGCTCTCTTCTGCTCCCAGGTTCCCGTGGCTGTACCGTAACATCCACCAGGAGCACCACACCAGTAAGGCGCTGGTGGCTTTAGCAGCGCAGGACTCCAGCGGGCCCGAGCTGCTGTCCCTGCTGCTCCTCGCCCTCCTCTGTGTTCGCCTCGTGGACTGCCACCCCCTCAGCGAGGCAATGTTCCACCTGCTCAACAGCTGGGCAGCGGTGGAGGACCACTGCGGCTACGACCTGCCCTGGGGCCTGCACAGACTGTTCCCCGCCTTAGGCCTAGGTGGCGCTCCCTTTCACCAGGCCCACCACACCAAGCACAGCGGCAACTACGCGCCATACTTCACCCACTGGGACCGGCTGTTTGGCACCTACAAGCACTGAGCGGGACAGCACATGCACTATGGGCTTTTCAAATCAAGGTTTTTGTGTTTCAGCTTGAATCACAACAGCAGTTCTTTTTGGAGGACATTACAAAGATTTGGATTCAACAACAACAGATCAAAGAATCAAACAGTTTGAACACAGGAAATGCAATGATAACAAACACATTGGTCCATAGGGTGCGGAATGACCCCTTTTCCATTAAAGTCCTGGATCATCACTGTCCTTAGATCCTCCTGCATCTACAAGCAACCACTCAAAAAGTGAGGAACCTTTGGGAGGCCCTTATTGAGAGAGATATTAGTTGGTTAATTTTACATTAACCAAGTAATATCTTGGTTAAAGGATGGGTAATTTTAACCATCCTCCATTACCATGAGAGCTTCTATAAGGATCAGCGGTTGCCGTAGTACAGCGCCCAGGACCAGAGCTGGTGAATTTTTTGCCTATTGTTTTTAATGGCAGGAGGAATCGGTCCCTTGGGGAAAACCTTTGCAGACACGAGGAGAACATACACTAAGAAAGGCCATGTTTCGATAAGGATCTACTTGCTGAGAAGAGAGTGCTAGCCACAGTGTCACCCTTAAAGTGTAAAATGGTTTTGTACTAAATCTTGCATCTGTTTGGAAATGAAAAGATATAACTGTAGACAAAACAGTAATTGTGTAATCACCACTGATCCCACAAATTGTATTTTTGAAGCCGTAAAATTTGTGGGCAGACGCACTGAACCAGAATCCTCCTATTGCACAATGTCTTTCGACGACGTGATGACAGTTTGATAACATTTTGGATTTGTTCAAACAGCGCAGTTACATAAGGTTGCTAAACTGTTTTGAGACGTTTTTAATGGACAAGTTGAGACGACACAATGGAAACAATGGGGGCATTTTAATCCAGCCGTGTGGAATGTGATTGACAGTCCCGACGTGTCTGGACTTTGAGAACATCTGTGTGTGAAAAGGCTGCAAAGGGAGCAAGGTTTATGTACGTGAAGGAAACTCAACAGAAGGAGTTTTGTTTGTGTATATGGGAGAGAGAATTGTGTACCACTCAAAGTTCAGCTGGACTGATTGTGGAACCCAACACTTTTATACGAAAGTCCTTTATGTTATCTTGGTGTTACAGTTTTTCTCAGTCGCTTTCGGGAATTTCTCACATTATTCTTCACATTTGCATTTCTCAGAACAATTAGTGCAAACTGCAAAACCTCGTATCCACGAGGTTTTGCAGTTTGCACTAATTTGACAGTTTGACTCGCAGGTTATCCAACCTGCGAGTCAAAAGCAAGTCTTCATGCCGATGAAACTGTCTGTGTCATCAAAATAATATGTCCTTATACCATTGTTTATGAACAAGACAGTCAAATGACTTAGTCATGTTTTCATTGTGACACTTTACTCTGAAATTCTGATCTTGGTGACACTTGGTGAGCACTAAACACGGCCTGTACAGCACAAAACTACAGTAAAGTTACATATGACTGTCTTTAGTGAAGTAACTAAGTACAAGACACATATGTATGTATGAATGTATGTATTTATGCATGTATGTATGTGTTTGTATTGGTATGTATGTAAGTGTATGTGTATGTTGGTATTTATGCATGTGTTTGTATGTATGTATTTATGTATGTGTATGTAGTGTATGTATGCATGTGTATGTATGTGTTTGTATGTGTATGTGGTGTTTGTATGTGTATGTAGTATATATATGTATGTATGTATGCATGTGTATGTGTGTAAGTAGTAAGTAAGCTTTATTTAAATACCGCCTTTCACAGACCAGAGTCACAAAGCGGTTTACAATTGTTATTTTTTGGGCACTTGTCCTCTCACTCCACACAGAGATGGGAGCAGGATCGCCAGTACAGGAGGCGCATGCCAGTCCTATTGTACATATTTTTAGTGGTAGGGGAAACCGGAGTACCCGGAGGAAACCTACGCAGGCACGGGGAGAACATGCAAACTCCACTCAGAAAGGCCCTGGTCTGGCCGGGATTCGAACCCAGTACCTTCTTGCTGAGAGGCGAGAGTGCTATCCACTCAGCCACCATGCCGCCCATGTGTGTTTGTTTGTGTATGTAGTGTATGTATGTACAGTATGTGTCCTTGCAAAGAGCATATGCAGTAAATATGTGAAAGATATACAGTACATAAATGCATGTATGTATGTACTGTAGGTAGGTATATATGTATGTATGCATGCAAGTACTGCATATCTTTCACATATTTACTGCATATGCTCTTTGCAATTCTCCAGCATTGTGCAACAAAAATACCGTCACTTACAGTATTTAAGAAGAACATACAAGAAATAGCATTATGGTAGAACTGTGACAAATTTACATTTGTAACAAACACCTTCTCAGGAGTGAAAGCTGAAATTCACCTGAGAGCAATTGTTCAATTCAGGAAAGATTTTCAGAAAAAAAAGATACAGAAATATATGAAATTAGCTTGACAGATTTTTATTTTGAGAACTAGACCATTAGTTTTATATGTCCAAAAGCATTTGTAATCTGTTCATAGGAATGAGAAACTGCTACAATGATGCGCACAAATGACTTAATGTTGAGGAGGTTGAACAAATAGTTGTGAGAGCTTTAAGTCTGATCTGAAAAATGCACCAAAGCGACAGAGACAAACTGTGACTGAGTAAAATCCCCATAACTTCAGCCCTGGATGCACTGTTAGATGTTTGGTCTGAAAATCTATATTTTAGATATATTTTAAGTTGCTGTCCTTGTGTGTTTCAGTCTTCTCACAGCAGTTGTGTGTATGAGAGCGATAGAGAGGGGGGGGTGTGTGTGTGTGTGTGTGTGTGTGGGTGTGTGTGTGTGTGTGTGTGTGTGTGTGTGTGTGTGTGTGTGTGTGTGTGTGTGTGTGTGTGTGTGTGTGTGTGTGTGTGTGTGTGTGTGTGTGTGTGTGTGGTGTGTGAGAGAGGGAGATATAGACAGAGAGTGAGGGAGTGTGTGTAATTCTGGCATCCAATAACTGTAGGTCCTTCCTCATTTGTCAAAAGTTCCTGCTGGGATACGTACATATACACAAGAACCAAAATTGGTGTAAGCACTTCAAAACAAGTGAAAAACATTGTCTCTACTGTAACATTTTCTGCAGATGAGGATAATGCACGTCTGTGACTTGTGCAACAGCTTTCCTTTAATGTGAAACAGATTTACCCCCAGCGAGCCGAGCCGAGCCAGGGGAGTGAGCTCTGTTCTCCAGGATTTATTGGACTCGTGTGTGGGATCCTAAAGTGTAAATATTCAAGTGATCAGCTTTTTAAAGTGTTTTTATAGTTATTTTAACATGATGTATTGTGTTGGCATCTGTGAGTAAAGTGTGTACAAATGTGTCTTGTGCCAATTTTCTTATCACAACGGTTTTTAAAATGTAGCAGGTTTTACATATGTAAATCTCCTGTGTGAGATCAATAAAGTCTTATTTCGATAATTGGCTGACAGGTCTGAGTGTGGATTTCAATAAGCAGAAAATGACAAAAAGGTTAGAAATACACAAAAAAACAACAAAATAAAGGGCTTCTAAATATTATTAACCTTTATTTAAGCAGCAAAGTCCCACTGAGATTTCAGACTCTCTTTTTCAGGGGGGGCTGGTCCCAGAGAGAGAGAGAGAGAGAGACCCGAAAGAGAGATATCAGAGAGAGTGACAAGCGAGAGATAGCAGAGAGAGAGAGCAAAGAGAGGGATCAAAGAGAGACCCGGAGGAAACCTACAAAGTCAAAGAGAGCGAACATGCAAACTTTATTCAAAAAGGTCCAGTCTGAAGGTGGAATCAAAACCAGGACTTTCTTGTTGAGAAGTGAAAGTGCTAACCACTCAGCCACTAAGTTCCCCTAAATATTCCCCTGAGTTTTGTCTTCAAGCCTTTGGCTGTTACACTGCGTGAGTGTTTTATTGCATATAGCATAATAAACGTCCATAGACATTAAAAGAGACAGAAACAAACAAATCACAGACATCAGACCCAATAAAGGCTCTGTTGCCAGTGAGTCCACATACTTTGGAAACTGTTTGTTTATGAAATGTACTATACAAATATTGTTGATAGAGACCACTGTGATGGAAAGTAAAGGCCCCATGCTGAACACTCATGCAGGCACTGAGTCACAACAAGATCAAATGCTGGTCGAATGCTGGTAGACCACGGTACTGCAGTCTACATTCACAAGGGCAACACAGGACATTTGCCTATAGTGTTCACTAAAATGCATCATTCTGAGCTAAAAAAGAACCTATAGCTTCCACAAAGAAGGATTCTGAGGGGATTTTAGTGTCTCTTGTCATCCTGGACTTTTTTTCTTTTGACATCCTTTGGTTTTCAGCCTCCATGATAACCTTATGCCAATAAGCACACGGTTAATGAATAAGCAGACATCTTGGGTTGCCAAGGCTTGGGTCAAAAATATACAATTTTTCTATCACATAAAATGTACATAGTTCCCATTTAAATACTGCTTTCTAGTTCAGTGTTTTTCAACTGCCGCGGCCCGTTAGCATGCCTTGTTTATGTTTAAGTGTTTATTTGAAGAAAGATACAAAATCAATGATACAAAAGAGATGCATTGAGAAAAAAAGAAAACAGCCCAAAAGGGAGTTGGCAGAAGCTGGAACAGCTTATCTGGGCCTACCCCCTGTCACCAAATACCCATCACTGATATATTGTTATGATACTTACATGTACATAAATAACTATATATATATACATATAAATATATAAATATATATATATATATATATATATATATATACATATATATACACACATACATATACACATACATATGCCTATATACATACATACACACGCACAAATGCAACACATAAGACATACAAATATACACAATACATTTAACATATACATACCTACATACATACACACATTTATCATAACATGTTTAATTAAGAAATTGGATTAAACATCTACTTCTACAGAGTCCATACTGGAAAAAAGTAAAAATGTACAGATTAAACA